TGTAAATATCATTCTGCGAAATATGGACCCAGCTTCTATTTTTCATCTTAATTAAGGAAATATTTTTTCACTGATGATAGTGTCATAAATACATCTAGGTTTGTAGTAGATTCCATTTAACATGGCTTAATCTGCTTGCATTAATCGGGCCAAATCTCAAAACATACCCTCAATTACTATGTTTTTTTTTTCAAATTGGAGAACATATAGAAAGTATTTTAAATATTTCATTCACATATCCATTGCCGACTTTGCAACGAAATAAGTACGAGTCTCGTCTACTTCCATCATATACGCTTATTCCTGCCAAATGTTGTGATTTTCGCGTCATATTTCTTTAGTTCCCCTCGAGGTATTTTCTTCTTCGCATGGATGTCAATTTGCTATTCCTCCATCTCATTCCCAAAGTTGCAACCCTCATTCCTATTAAATACGTACTTCACGAACAACGTTCTGCATCAATTCCTGCCATAAGATCTCTTCACCTAAAAGTTATAACCATATTTTTATGCTCCCATCACCACAGCTTTTCATACGTGCTTAATATCTTCCTACACTTCATGTAATACTTTAATATATCATACGTCTAAACTAGAGAGCTACTCTAAAAGTTTATACTAGCGCACACCAGCTCCACTACTACTGTCTTGATTCAGTCTACTATAGTCTTAATTCAAAAGCTCATGTTGATAACATTTGTTTCTAACTCCTTATACATACCTACTCCCACTATCTCCTTACTCCCCACGCTGCCTCCCCCTCTCTCATCAGTCGTGCATGAGGGGAAAGCAGCCCATGTTTCCCCACGATCGCCCTGCGTAAGTGGGTCGGTGCGCCCGAAAGTGAGGCGGCTTGATTGAGGCGTCGCGTGAGCTCGCGCAATCTGCGGTACCCTTCTTCTGCCTCCGCCTCACGCCGCCGATTTTGTCAGCGTTTCTTGCTGGTAGCTTGCCGGAACCCACTGTTCTTAATAATTATACGATGTATTTATTCACTTTCTGTGTGCCGTATAATGTATTTTCTACCTCTGTCACTGATGCTGTTTTTTTTTTAATTTGATGTGTGCTTTTTATTTACCAAAATATTCATAAATAGAAACGAGAAAAAAAAAAAACAAAATTTTACATGTTTCTTCTCCTGATTATTGTACTCGTATATTTTCATAGGACCTTGAACAATGCGGAAGACTTATCTGTAGGCGAGACCATGCGTGCGTGGTCGCCCCCACGCGCATAAATAGGACGGAGCGCTCGCATTACGCGCGAGGGATCGTGAGCAAAGTTGCAGCTGCATGCATGTTTATGATCTACTCGCGGAAACTCCGACGCTTGTTTTGAAGGCTGTAGCTCCTGTAGGATTTTTCTGAGATTATGAAAAAAATCGTTAATCCTTTGTTATACGTTTAAATTCTTACGGCAAACCGTACAAGATCAAGCTATTAAGAAAAACTAGACCTGACTATGAAGCAATTAATGTCTGTGAAATATTTTCGAAGTGTAAAACTTCCAAAATTTTCCATGTGTAAAAATAGTGTCAGTCACCCTCATATCTACTGGCAAATTTTAACTATTCATATGACGAATTATAACGTCATGTTTCTAATTAGGTGAATTTTTAGATTATTTTCTCCTGGTTCCTTGAAAAGCCGTGTTTGAGTCATATGTTGAAGTATTGAAGTGAAATTTCATGTATAACTCAGCTGCTTTTATAGCATCTTTACTGTTAACGTAACCCCTTTATTCAACTATGTGAACAATCCAATTGCTCTTTTCCGTTACGTTCACATTATTGTTGCCAAATGAGAAAACTTTTATCATTAGTCATTTTAAATCGACCAATACTTTGAAAGCAAATAATATAATAACAAATAATTTGAGAGCAAAATTCTCATAAACAATTTAAAAGCAAATAAAACGCCAAGTAAATTCCCTCAAAGACAAACAGTTCAACAATATATTCCTCAAAGAGTTAAAATTCAACTATATTCATCGAAGAACGAAAATCCACCTTATAAATAATCTATGCAGGTATGGGGGAATTTACTTACTTGCCGTTTTCAAGCAACGCGCCGCCGACGCTCTCCAAATGACGCCATTGCCAGGGTCGCCACTCGTAAATTCCAGCAAATGTTCTCAGTTGAAAACGACACCGCGGCGCACAACTTAGCACCGGCATTGCTTTTCTCTTCTTGCCGCTACACCAGAGCTCCCTGCTAGTATCTGTACTTCACTAAGAACAAGAACTTCACTAAGGTGCTTGATTGATCTGAAACATAAGATGAAATTACATCTAATCTGCAGTATTATGAACTCTATTTGTTTGAAAAACAAAAACCAAAAAAAATCTCGAGATGTTGGTAAAAGTCTATGTGTTTTAATACTTATTCTGCTATTTATTTTTCTTGATAAACGTGTATGACATTGTCTCATGACAAGTGATTTTGAAAAGAGTTCATAAGAAGCCATTCTATGACCTCACTGATGAAATTGATTTATGGTAAATATTGCATTCGTATCTAAGGAATAAATGAAATATGGGTTTTTCTGTACTAAGACTTTTCATTGTGGATTGGAGGGGCATAAAGTGAATACTGTTGCTTTCAATTCAGCATTGAGTGAAGATTTGCGAATTAATTAGATATCTAACTTCTACATTTAAGATTAGAATTGATTATAATATTGAAATTCAGGAATTTCTGACAATATTTTAAGATGATCGTAATATTGGTGAAGTAAATGAGGCTTTAACGATAGATCTTATATGTGACTGTTGATGAAAATGACTTTCACTTTCAGAAATTGTCTTAAGGGATATTTTTTTTCGACTAGTTTCTGTTCAATGTGCTGTAGTGCAATTATTTTTATAGTATCATCTATTTCATTCATCAAAATATTAAATCTCATGTCCTACGGCGGTGCACGGTTTGTGAAAGGGTACGTGAAATTGCTTATATATTAAAAAATATAACTCAGTTCTCACAGCAGTGAGTGACAGAGAGCGCATTTTCTCGTCGACGAAAACTTGAGGTCACGGACTGATGGACAGACAGACAGACAGACGGACGGACATGGCGAGCACAATAGTGCATTTTCCATAAATGAGAAAATGCGCTAAAAAGTGAAACCAAACATACTTATATGCAGAAAAAAACACTCTTCTGAACTTACAAAAACAAAATGATTCTAATTTAATTTCAAAATCAAATTTTAAAAGCATGGACGAATTCCATGACGCGCGTGTGAGCGCTATAACATTGCCTGGAAAATCAGGCAATCTTGCGTTGAAGACCCGCTCGTATTTGAGAGCAATCCCCTATCACGGGATTAGCTGGGGCGTTTACCGGCTTACTGGTAAAGACTGGCAGCGTCGTGGCAAGTGCTCCTCTACTTTTGGGATAACTTTCATAGATGATGGGGGGCAAGTTGCCTGGGTCTGGGGAAATAACAGTTAGTCAGCGACGTCGAGAATAGAGCTATATAGATAGATGAGCAGACTTCGATCTGATATTTTTGTGTAATATTTAGAATGATCCACTAGAGCTTGGGAGTAGTTTAAAGCTCGAGGAGTGCTTGGATAAAAAATGCAATAAGATTTACCAAAGGAAGATCAGTTAATCTTTCGAAAGATAGTTTTTGGGTTTAAATCTTGGAAAATAGGAAGAGATCCTGCTCCAAAATGTCCTAAAATCGGCCGAAGGAAAGTGTACGAAATCGTTCATGGATGGAAGATTGATAGAAGAGAGTAGTCCTCGATCAAGCGAGTGGGATTTAAATAAACAGACGCTTTATACTGTAGTTAGAACAAATAATTGCTTCTGTTGGTAACATTCAAATGAATATTGCACGATAATAATAATTATCTTTTAATTTTCAAAGTAAAATTGGTTGGTTATTATCCAATTGTCATGATCACGTAATAGCCTAGTTGTATTAACTTACAGAAAATTTTTTCGCTGCTCAACAGTTGAAATGCCAAATTTTGTTTGAATTTATTTCAAGTAATTTGTGGGTGCACTGAACACCATCCACATGTTTATCTGACAGCTTTACTAGTCATTTCGTTAAGATAATATTGTGAAATAGTGGTTAAAGAATGTGCATTGCACCGTGCTCAATTTAAGTCCTTAATAAAAATTATATGTCTCTCTAAACAAGTAAAATAAATAATTGTTTAATCAATCTATAGAAATGGACATAGCCGAAACTGTTAATTATGATTTACCGTTTCCTCCGACTATTTACGGACTCAATATGATTACTTAAATAGTTCAAATTAGTTTATCAATCGTATATGGAACTCAGTTTTGAAATCTCGCTGTCGTATTTTTGTTTCGATTGTATAATTGCTTCGATTAAATTTTCCGTCATCTGAGCTGCTCAGGAACACGAGATTTCCCGGACAAAGTTTGGCCAACTGTCACTGGCGTGTAGCCGAGCTTGGGAGTGTTGGAGAGTGTATGTGTGTGTGAGAAGAGATGAGGGAGGTTGTGTAGGCAGTGGGGTGGGTGAGGAACGTGTGTGGTGGAGAACTAAGGTGGAGAAGGTGGTGGTGTTGAATAGCTATAGGGTGGAGGAGAAGTCTGCCCTCTCTCGCACTCCTAGGCGGGACTTCTAGCGCCGGCAGATTAATTCACCTCACTGCCTCCTCCCACTCATTGTGACTCATTTCCCAGACTTGAGGCCGATATTCATCCTGATAAACACTCATTTATGTCTACGGGTCTTGCCTCATGTCTTTTCAAACCTGAATCACTCCGCTGTATCCCGTAAATCTCGATTTCACACCTCGAACTTACAGAGGATCGCAATTTTTGCGCGGTATTTGCGTGTGAAGTTGGATGCGTGACCGGCCGTTCAGAAGGTGGCAGTGGTTCTTGCCGAGCTCCTCCCTTGGACCGCAGCCTGGCTGCTTCCATTGGCCGAGGTCGTGGCGAGCGCAATACGAAGCGGCGGCGGCGGCTTGGTGCTACGGAACACACTGAGCTGTCAGTGTGGGTGCGCTAGCCCGCTGAGAAGGTTTGCTAGGAGTGAATAAACTGTCTTTCCCGTGGACGACGCGATCGTTCCTCCAGTGATCTGATAACATTGGCCAAAGACCAACCGCTTCTATATGAAACTGTCGTCGCTAGCGGGTCGCATTTTATTTCTAATAATCACATCTGACAATATGCAGTGGGTGTGAAACTTGAAGCGCAGTTAACGGTTGCGTTATCGCTTTATGATTATCTAAGTTTTTTTTCCTGAGCAAGTGGTGGATTCTGGAGTGTGAATTTTTGCGGATGTTTGACACGGCGGCATTGAAGTGTTGGTTTCGTTGGTCGAGGGAACTAGTGTTGAATTTGTGATACAGTGTGATCCAATCGGAGGTGTTGGCTTCAAGAAATATATTGCGTTCGGAACAGTGATTCAAAATTGTTTTTGTTTTTCAAAAATTATTATTTTTTTGTGAAAAACTGCAAATTACGAGCTCCTCCATGAGATTCGACAACCTGCTTGAGGCTGGACAACTGTTAACTTCCCCTTTGACTTCCCCTCCACCTCCACATTTTCCACCACCGCATCCTCCTCATCCGTCGTCATCCAGCATGGCCTATCATCCTCTATTCCTGCAAAGACCCACAGACTTTAGCGTTAATTCCCTCCTCACGCAATCTCCATCCTATTTGCCAGGTCTCGGATTCCCCAATTCGGGATCTCATTCCCCATATAGCCTTTTCCCAAAATTCCCCGGCACTTTGGGGCCTTTCACGTCATCTGAGGATCTTTTGGCGCAATCAGCACATCTAAGAAACCCTCTTCGGTCCATGGTCCCCGAAGAGGACGGGATCGTCGACGATCCCAAAGTTACGCTCGAAACCAAGGAATTATGGGAAAAATTTCACAAATTTGGCACTGAAATGGTCATCACCAAGTGTGGCAGGTTAGTGGAATATCATCCAGCATAAAATCAAGTTAATGGATCGCTTTGGAATCTATGGAACTCATACAGTCCCTTATATATATCAAGTTTAATGCACGAAAACGGTAGCATGTCGAATTTTTTTATTTTATTGATCATTTATATCATTATTTGATTCTTTTAAATTATCCCTTTTATGATAGTATGTCAATTGAACTTTTCACTGAATGATTTTAATTAGCTGTTCGTTCACTGCTCATAGCATTGTTCTCACGTCTGTATTGATGATCAGGAGAATTGAAAATTTTATTGGTTGGCTTATTATAGATGCAATATGTGAGTGAGTTAATGAAAAATATGCCTATTGGACTAAATTAACATTAGCAATTAAAATATTATTCTAAGATAGATTAGTTTCTCAAATACCTCATGCGTTTGCACACAACAGATATAGTCATAGATGGGAATAATCTGCACGTAATTTTTGAAGTTGTTTTACTATTCAAATTGAACCTGACCAATATAGTTAAAGCAATCCAATCTCTTTCCTTAGAATAACTTTCACAATAAATTTTCTTTCATGATATAATTATAGCGAGAATTACATGAACTTTCAATACTCAGTTTTTTTGCACTATACTGCGCTCTCAATTAGTGAAAAAATACCTAGAATCCGATATCAAAATAAATTTGTGTTTCCCTTAATGAAATTATGTTAAGATTCACAACATAATTTTAAGAAATTGTTGAAAAATCTCAAACGTTGAGAATTTTCCTATCTTCCCATGATTTGTAATGAACATCATGTGATTGACAGCCATATAAATTTTCAAACTAATCTATTAACAACCGAAACGCTTTCAAAACTGCCACGGAAAGATATTTATAGTTAATTCATTTATTAAAGTTTATCAAGTTAATTGAGTTAAGTATCATCAAGCTAATTTATGATACTTAATTACGATGAATGTTGTTGGCTGGAAAAATTAACATGAAATTTATCAGTAAACTGCTTCATTTAAATTACTAATGCATGTGGACTCAAAGTCAATATACATTTTTATTAAAACTATATTTAAGCAAAAGTTCAGATACCGACTTATATTATGAAATAATTTAGAATATATTAGGGAATTTATGAAATGAATGGAGCACTTATCAATTACATTCCAAACTAAATGGTTTAATCATATTGTATAATTATGCAATAATTAAATAATGAGTATTTCTTAGAAAAACTTCGATTTACTTTAAATTTTGGGAGCCAAAATTTTTATTGTCTGTCGATGACTTGTAAAAATTAGTAATTTTAATAAAATATCATCCCGGTAAATTTCTCCAGCGTGCAATAGTGAATACAATTCTTTTTGACAACCAAATATGCTATTGACTTGTCTGCGTCATTATTGATGTAACTAAAATTATATATCAGGACAATATCGGGCACAAAATAGATTCTCAAATTGAATATTGATGTTTGAACATTAATTCTAAATATTTTATTCTTTATAGCTGACGAAATTTTAATTTCTAAATCCGTTTCAATGTGAACAGATAACTAAGAATTTTGCTTTAAAAATTTCTCAATTGGAAGATCAATTTTGTAATGAGTTTATATGCTCAAAAATCAGAGTAAACTTGAAATATATTCTGATCAAGATCCAGCAAAACTTGAAGCTGGATCACGTTGAAATTTATATTGATAACTTGAGTTTTTTACTCAAACTCTTTCGTANTAGACTGACTTGAGACATGTGTGCATATCAAGCTATTTTCAAGAATTTTTGTTTCCAATTCAAAATGCATTTTTTTATAAAACAAGTGTCGTTCACTAGGAATAACTTGTCGATTTTTTCAAGATTTATGATACTGCGAAAATGTTGCGCGTTAAAAACCCTATTTAAAGTAGAAATTTCTAAGTCCGATACTTGGATCTTATCGTAAAAAATGAATATTCTTCCCGACAACGCGTGTGTATACGAGACGCTTGTATGCAATTATACGCAAGATATATGTTGTTTTAATACACACATCGGTGCCGCAGCACAGCTGTGACGGTGTCAATGTGTACTGGACAATCGACTGATGTTCCAGTTAACAACTGTTGATTTTTGGTTCAACGTCGTACTACTGTTTTAAGTTTTATTTTTCAAGCCAGCTGGTGTTCTTCAATATTGTCAGTTGTGTAAAATTTTCACGAATTTACTTATATTGTTGGTATAGGAATTATTATTTCAATGCTGATTTACAGCGAAGTTTTAAATAGAAATATTTTCCTATGATTTATTATTTGTTTTAAATAGGCTTGCAGGTTTATAACGTTAAATATTGTTCATATTATTTTTTACTGCCGTATTAATAGGGTAATTATTTCTTTATATAATAATTAAAAGAAAAATTCAACTCCTGTGCATTCCTACGTTTTTAGTATGCATGTAAATAGCATAAATAATCACGATACGTACGTGTCTTTATTTAGGTGAGAAAAAATTCAATTATCCCAGAAATTGTTGTTCATAAATGATAATCGGATCTCTCTGATTGGCTTAATTTACTCTATCTTAAATTCTAACATTTATTCCCATCGTAAATATATTTCTGAACAAATGCATGCATGCATGCATAAAATATTGCAGATACGACGTCTCAAGTTTCAATTGCCTTACTCATTTTCTTAAGCTATTTTATTTGCCATGACAATTCCAGTTCAATTCCAACAACTGGTCTTTCATTTTTATTCCTTAGCTCGGGCCCAGCAATCATTTCGTTACATCGCTTTTATTTTCTTATTTAATTAATTGTCCTAGTTCAACATCTCAATGTTTGCCTACTAACTTATCAGTAATTTTAATTCACTTCGTTTCCTATCATCTTCATGTTGATTGCATTCTCCCTATTTAATTGGGATTTTATGCCGGCATAATATTGTAATTGTATGTCTCTTATTTGTCCTCGGCCTTTTAGATCACCTTAATTTAGTTTTAATAGTTTTGAATTAATATCTATATATCACTTGCATTATTGTGTTGTTTTCATACAATTTGCCGTGAATATATATGTTGAATTTTGTTCATGTTTAATAGTTGTTCATATCATTGTGTTGCCGCTCGGTCCCCGATTACTGCTCACTCTCGTCCCATCTCGCAAGACGGTTTTGCTCTCGGTCCCCGATTACTGCTCACTCTCGTCCCATCTCGCAAGACGGTTTTGCTCTCGGTCCCCGATTACTGCTCACTCTCGCCCCATCTCGCAAGACGGTCTTGCTCTCGCTCCCTGATTGCTGCTCACTCTCGCCCCATCTCGCAAGAAATTTTTGCTCTCGGTCCGCGATTACTGCTCACTCTCGCCCCATCTCGCAAGACGGTCTTGCATGTTCCAGATGCTCGCTCTCTTCTTGTCAATGACACAAAAGAAGCTCTGCTGTTGAGGTGAGAAGCGCCCTGTTCATTGCGCTTCAATGGCGATGCGTCGTCCGTTTATTCTCTATCTCTTCTCATCGTATTCGTTTCGCTTCTCCGCCTTCATCTTGAAAACTTCTACCGATCTTCCCTGCATATGAAGGCTTGATCAGTATTACAGGGTTATTTCGTATGCCGCTGAGCCTTTAAATTCGAAAAGAGTCGGGGTAATTTTAATATCGTTATGTGGAAACTTTTAAAGTAAATATTAGAAATAATGGTAAGCAACAATCAAGCGTTACTCGATCGGACGTCCCTGTCCAAATCTCAGTTCTCGGAGCAAATTAACATTGCCAAGTTCATAAGTTGAGGTTTCAGTATTCAATAATAAATAATAGCACAGGTGGCATAAAATGAATCATGGTGAAATACCGAGCTATGACTATTTTAATGTAGTGGACACTTAATATCAAATAAATTACTGCCTTAAAACGATTTTATTACTATACTGTACACCTGGGCCGCACTTAAAATCAGCTGTGAGTACTAGTATTAATTCCAACACACAATCCTGAGTTTCTACATCGTAATTATTAAAGCCAATTTTCTTTCAATTTAAAATTCATTTATTTCAGATTGGTATTATAGAAACACTGACACGGATTATTCTAAATAAATTAAGATTTCAGTTGAGTCTGGGTTCGCCATAAGAGGTTCATTCCTTGCATATTATTAATGCAGCGTTCTTCAAAAGCGACCTCTTGGAGCGCAAGCAAGGTTTCGGGTCGATATGTGCGCCACGCTCCCAACTTTATATTGCATTGCTGAAAAGGTCTTCATGTATTTATAAGCAGAGCCTCCTTAAACTATGCTGCTCAATTTTGTCGCTGTCGCCGCAACTTTGCTGAGCCTATAGTATAAGGGGCGCTTTTATCCCTAGGCCGGGCGAGAGAGATTCCCCGTCGTCATCTTAAATCCGGGAAATTTTCTTACTCTAAGCCGTACAGCTGCGTGATTTATGTATTTGATTCTGATCCTTATTTCTTGTCCAGTTAAACGATAAAAATTCCTGGATCAGTTTAAAAATTTCGTCATTTAACGTGGCATACCAAAAATTGGACTAAGTAGTGTTTAAAATTTGAAATTCTCAGTTCCAAATCAAAGAAAACTCTACTGTATTTTATTAGTATAAATTATTAATTTCGCTAAAATCAAATTCCACCAAAATTTCTGGCGTTCTATGATCACGAGGGTATATTGAGGGTATATAGGCTGTACTAAGGGTTATATAGTATATACTGAGAATTTAAATGATAATCTAAGGGTATAGAAGGTGTAATGAGGACCATTTAACTGCCCATATGTGTAAGTAGCTATAGGTGACACCGGTACCTACAGCTGAAGCGTAGTCTAGGACGGGAATTGTTGTTGAAAATATTTGAAATAAAAAATAAAATCGTGTAAATTGAAGTGGGATATTGTAAAAATATTCGAAATTGATTCTTCATATCGCCACCGTTCTACATGATGCACGGCAAGCCTCTCACCGACTCTTCCCTCTCTCTTGTGCGGCACTCCCAGAAAAACCTGAGTATAGCAAGGCTCTCCTGTGGATGCATTTCT